GCTCTCAGGAAGCATATATTGTAGAAATAAGGGCTAAGGTTGGGTTGCTATGCGCCAGGTACTGTTCTAGGCAATGCAGATTTGTCAGTGGACAAAACAGACAAAAACCTCTGCCACAGACTCTACATTCTAGTGGGGGAAGCCGACACTAAGGTTTGCTCCTCAGGAGAACGGGAGAAAGGGAAGCGAGCACAATGGGACTGACAGCTCTCTCAAGGAGCTGTGCTGTGAAGGAGAGCGCATGGAATTCGGGGATGGTGTTTGAAGAGTGATGTGGTCTCAAGGAAGGGGCGTGGGGGATTTGATTTGTCGGTTTGTTTTTAAATAGGAGATGTTAGAGCATGTTTGTACCTGATGAAAATGAACCTATGGAGAGGAAAAAATGGGCAGTGCAGGGGAAAAAGAATAATTCTAGAAGACAAGTCTTTGAATATGCAGAAGGAAAGAGGATCCTGTGCACCTGTGATGTTGGGACCCATCACATGTACTTGTGGGCTCCTGGCTCGCAGCACCTACTGCTTCTGTGTCCTTCCTCCCCAGCTAGACCATGAGTTTTTCTGAGGCCTGTAACTGCTTTCTCTGTGATTTGAATTCACTCTTCCTCTCCTGCTGCCACCCCTTATGTTTGCAGCTCACGCAGCATTTTCATAAACACTGTCTCGCTTGGTACACACAGCAGCACAACCAGTCTGAAATGGCTCCCAGGCCCAAGCCATGTGCCAGGAACCCATCCACTCCTACCCTTATGGCCTGATCACACCCTCAGAACCCCACTCCTGTGTCCTCTGCACATATTGTTCCTTCTGCTTGGTACCTTTCCACATCTCATAGGTCTGGAGAAATCTTAATCATCCTCTAAGATCCAGCTTGAGTGACACCTCTTCTTTGAAGCCTTCCCAGAATCCACCCCCAAACAAAGTTAATCATCCCCTGGGCTGTGTTCCACTCCACCACAGTCTAACTATGCATTAACTTGTCTGTCTCCCCCAGAGATGGAACAAAGCAGCTGACGTGCAAAAAAGCCTGACAGAGAGGCCGCACTCAAATTGTCACTGAATGAATGAATCAGAGAGCTGGGAGTAAAAAGTGGTCAACATTATAAGAAGCAGTGGTACTGAGATCCATAAAAGGTTTAGCCATTCTTGCCCTCGGGGCTGGAATTAGATTTCCCCGGGCTGTGCTGCTCAGGGGCTAGGGTTAAGGTGGGAGGTCCCAGCTGCCCTGAAGGTTGTCATGGGCAGCCCTCAGCTGTCAGCTTCTCTGGGAACTGCCCTCAGCCAGGGGAGCTGCCTCGCCCAAGTGCCCTCTCCTGGAAGCAGCCATCCTGTTAGACCAGCTGATAAGGGGAGGAAAGGCCTCGCCCCCCTGCCTCAATTTGGGATATCTCAGCAGGGCCCTGTCTGCTCCAGAGCTTCCCCTGGGACAGGCTGAGGCCTCTGTTGAGACTACCTTGGCTGTTCAACTTCTGCCCAGCACCTTGCTGTCTTCCCTGTCCTACAGGTGATATTTGCAAGGGCACTCCAGCACACCTGCACTCACATCTCCCTCCCAGAGTCTGGTTCCAGGGAACCTGACCTAAAATAGCCATTTGGGTCCCTGGGCCAGAGCGGTGTCTGGCACATAACATATGCTCAATAAATATTTATTGAATGAGTATGTCCCTGTTTATTTTCTCGTCGTCTCTCTGCTAAGGTTCCTCCCAACTGCTTGCCCTTCAGGGCCTCGTATACAACCGACGCTCAATAAAAGCCCTGGCTCTAGGTGTGGGGGTGGGGAGCAACACACACTCAGAGCCCCCGCGAGACTGAGCGCCACAAACTTGGGGCCAGCCCCCCGCAGCTGCGGCCGGGACGGGGGGCGGGGGGGGGGGGCAAGCCAGCTCCCGGGTCGGGACCGCAGCGTGCGGGCCCTCGGAGGACCAGCACAGGGCGGCAGGCGGGGCGGCCACTGACCCGTCGACTCCGTGCAACGGTTACTTTTTAAGACGCCAAAATGGCGGAATTCTTTTTATTCTTTCTCTTTATGGCAAAATAATAACCCCATTTCCCGTTATAAAAAATCGGAAATCAATGGTAGGAAAAAGAAAGTTTGCCAAATGACCCATTTCCTCAGAAACCCCAAAGCCCGCCCTCTACACCTTCCGTGGTATTAATGAAAACTCTTAATTGACTGCATTTCGCTAAAATCGGAGCCACCGCCTCCCCGGCTCGCGGTCGCGGCCCCCAGCCCCGCAACCGCCGGCCCCCGCCCCGCAGCGCTCCACCCGGACCCCTTCCGCTCCGCTCCCCCGCTCTCCTCCCC